GGCGGCGCCAAAGGCGAGGCCACGGGAGCTGCCGGAGAGGAGCGCGCGGAGAGCCGAGCGCCTGCAAACCGCGGGCCGCGACCCCCGCTCGCTCTTTTCATCGCCCGTTTCCGCTCGCTCCTCCCTCTCTTCCATCCTTTCCTCTCGACCCCGCGCTCGTCGTGAAACTATTTTTCTTGATGTGTGTGTATGTTACACTCCCTTGAAGATGGGCAGCAGGAGGGCAGGAGAATAGACTTTGATTGTAACAGAGATCCCAAGCTCCTAATCCGAAACTGCTATAAACGCTGGCGTGTGAGCGGCGATGGCACAGAGACGTTGGGGGAAATTGCTTGTGGTTTTTAAGATACTTTTTCACGTGAAGGTCGAAACGCCTGTCCCTCTATTACAATCAGATTTCACGCCTGCATATTTACCTGTATGCCCTCCATATAGTTGAAAATATTTAAACTAGAAAAAGTTCCCCAAACCAGTGACCAGTGTGTACAGCATCTAATTTATAGTACAGCTTTCGTACCTGTTCAGGGAGAGGAAGACTGAACTGGAGAGGACCTTTTTACTTGCCCCTTGGTTCTAATCCCGTCCAGCCCCTTCATTAATTTCTCCACGTTCCTTTCAACTCCACAGCGTAAGAGAAATGGCTTCTATTTTACCAGTCTTCCAACAGCATTACGTCACAAAAAGTACATATAAATTTAAGCTCCCTTTACTTTCCATTTGTACAAAGCTCAGGGACAGTCTGAAAAATCAGCATTATTTGTGATGCAGCCTGAGGATACAAATACAAATGATTCATCCCCCTTCTGTGAGAGAATGTAACATGCTATACACTTCGGAGGCTTACTTTTGTCCTCAGAAACAAATAATCGTTGATTTGCAAAGTACAAGGATGAAAGAGTATATTCGTCAAAAAGTAGTGTCCTTCAAAATTACCAAAGCAATATTATAGACGAGCTGTATCTGTTAACAGTTAAAATAACATACAGTTTCTAATATATATTTTATTCATTTTAAATGCCCACTTAGGATTCCCTCCCTTCAAATCTACCAAAAACCAAACAAACACACAAAAGTACTGGATGTGAGATGCTGTTGTAGTTTACATTTTGGTGTCATTTTCAACTTTGTCATTTTAAATTTTCATAAATGACGAACACACTATACTTTTGAACATTACAAATTATATTTAATGCATTGGTCCTTCTAAGCCACAGCCACTGAGTTACACGAGGTTTTTGTTTGTTTGTTTGTTTTTGTTTTGTTTTGTTTTATTAGTTACATGGGTTTTGAAGTTTAATAGCATTAGGCAGAAAGAGCCTAATGAACCAATGAAAACAGTGTATTTGTCAAAACACTAAGACTTAAAACAGGGTTTTTAGCATTCATCTTCATAGAATCCTCTTACTGAAATCTGTTGCTTCCCCCTAAATTTATAAACTACTTCCTCAACTTCAGAGAAGAATCGAGGCCTGCCAGGTGGCATGGTGGTTAAGGTGGCTGGCTCCTACATGACCCGTTACATGATTTGGTGGCTCAAATCCGTGTGCTTGCCCAAAATCTGGACAGGAGAGTGGAGAAGGGATTGTAGCAGGCCCCTCTCTTGGAGGAGTAATTTCTCACTTTCCCTCTTTTTTTGTCTCTCTCCAGTGAGTATATGTGCCCTAGAACAAATTCAAAAAAAAAAAAAAAAAAAAAACCAGAATTGATTTTAGCCTTCTCAATTTAAAAGCTAAAAAGCTTGAAATAATATTTAAAAATACATGGCTTTCTACCTCATTTGAAGACTAAGAAAGGGTTTAAAGTAATAGTTCCTCAAAGAATAAATTAATAGAAGCTTTATCACCTTCACAGATGAATAAGTAATAATGCCTCAAACCACTACTAATGAAGCCCATTTATCATGAGGTAGATAGATGTTCCTAATAAGCATGGTACAGACCATAGAACGGTAATGGAGTGGACATATAATAAATATGTATATATATACACACTAATATAACGTCTCCAATACTATCAGGTTGGAGTCCATTTTCATTTTGTCATTACATAAAATATTCTTCTAAAATAAAATGGCCTAACATTTACACTCTAAATGAATCCTCTTAGAAATGCATTATGAATCGCATTGTGTGATCTATTGCTTTGTTTAATGACCCTTTCGACGTTGATTATTTCCATTTAATCTCGTCTCTCTCCACTCTCTTCTTATTCTCCCCTTGTCTCCCACCTGTACCCTCCTACCAGCCTCCATGTTGAACAAATCACAGGTCCCGAATGTCTTTATCTGTTCCTTTTGCTGGGGACATCTTTCCTCTTCTACCAACTCCCTGTTGCCTTCTCTCTGCTCGCCTCTTCTCTCCAGATCTCAGCTTAAACATCAGTTCCCCTGGAAACTTTTCCAGTTTTACTCAGCCTGGTTAAGACCATTACTCAAGTGTTCCTTCAGGACCCTGTGCTTGTGCATAGACGAGGTGATCACACTCATGTGTAAGTGGTGCCCACTACACTGCAGGATGGTGTGCAGCGCATACACTATTCCCTTCCCAGCATGGCGCCTAGCGGCTAAGAGGTGCCCAGTTTCTGCGGTGAACGCTATGCTCACGACACAGAAATACAATCATCTCACGACGGGATGGCAGCACAGCACCTGTGTACTGGGCACGAGGCTAAGCAATGACATCGTGAACATGACTAAGACTTGGCCCCTCAGGATTTAAAAATAGGCAAATGAGAACAGAATCCGATCAAAACAAACTCAGCTCTAAATGAGAAGAGACAGCAAGAAGTCTGAGACGCATTGGAGCGATCTATTCGGTGACCTGAGCAACTAGCACTAAATACTATAATTAGGACCATTTTGCTCTAAGCCACAGACACCGTTCATATTCCTTAGAGCATTTTGACCACAAATATGGGTTCTATAAGATCTTCTGTTGTTGTGTAAAGATAAGGCATAAAATTTCTACTAGAAACTATACTAAATCAGTTCCCATTCTCAGCACGTTTCAAAATAAGAGTCAATCCTGTGTTCTGTAAAGGCACAGCAAACCGACCAAAAGGAATATAGAGTCCAGATTATAACTCATATATAATTTGTAATTTTAATAAAATTAATTATTTTTTGGAGAGGTTTTTGCTATAGGGTGCATGCACTCACCAGAAAGACAGAGAAAGACAGAGAGACAGAAAGAGAGAAATCAGCCCCCAGGAGGGATGGCCATGCCGCAATCCCTTCTCCTCCATTCTCCTCTCGGGATCTTGGGCACGCACGCACACATGCCCGGCACGAGTTTAAGCCACCGGGTCCAAGACTCGAACCATGGTCGACTACATGGGAGTCCAGTGACATAGCCTTGCACCAACTACTGGTCCCATAAAAATTAATTATTTTTTTAATTAGGCCAACAGGTACTGTATCTCCTTTGATAAGAGAAGACTACAAACAATAACGACAAGATGTAGAGTCAGAACAGATATCTAACCTTTTCTCTTATTAGCTTTATGATTTTGGTAAATCATTTAACACCCCCAAACCTCAGTCTGCTTATGGCTACAATGGAAATAGTAAACACCACAGGTTCCTCACTTCAATGATGCTTCCAGTAACAGGGCCATCCATGTTTGATGGGGCTCATTGCATTGGCTCACATCATTGTTCTGAGGGGTGGGAACAGAGCCATAGCTTAACTAGGTAGATCCAAGGTCCAGAAGCAGATAACTCGTTTTAGTAGATCTGTCTGTCTTCCTTTCAGCTCTCACCCACGCACAGCCCAAGACCTAGCGGTAACACCATCCTACCGTTTCAGACATCCCCAGAGCACCGCGTCCTTTACTGTCGACATCCATTGTCATCTGTCTCTCATGGCACATGACCGCCCTAGACACTGATACGAGTTTGTTGATTCGATTCGGGTCCAAGACTCGAACCATGGTCGACTACATGGGAGTCCAGTGACATAGCCTTGCACCAACTACTGGTCCCATAAAAATTAATTATTTTTTTAATTAGGCCAACAGGTACTGTATCTCCTTTGATAAGAGAAGACTACAAACAATAACGACAAGATGTAGAGTCAGAACAGATATCTAACCTTTTCTCTTATTAGCTTTATGATTTTGGTAAATCATTTAACACCCCCAAACCTCAGTCTGCTTATGGCTACAATGGAAATAGTAAACACCACAGGTTCCTCACTTCAATGATGCTTCCAGTAACAGGGCCATCCATGTTTGATGGGGCTCATTGCATTGGCTCACATCATTGTTCTGAGGGGTGGGAACAGAGCCATAGCTTAACTAGGTAGATCCAAGGTCCAGAAGCAGATAACTCGTTTTAGTAGATCTGTCTGTCTTCCTTTCAGCTCTCACCCACGCACAGCCCAAGACCTAGCGGTAACACCATCCTACCGTTTCAGACATCCCCAGAGCACCGCGTCCTTTACTGTCGACATCCATTGTCATCTGTCTCTCATGGCACATGACCGCCCTAGACACTGATACGAGTTTGTTGATTCGATTTACTGTGCGCCTGTTCTTTTCCAAATTTTAACTTGGTTCAGCTTTTTTACTGTGGTCTAATT